CTATGATATTTAAATATTTTTGTTCTCCAAGAGTAGTGTTTTTCCATAATGATTTTTGATGCTCACAAACATCCCTAGCAACCATAGTTTCATTAATATTAAGCACACTGGACAGGTGTTTAATATTATGTGGATAAAAACTGTAAATTGGAGTTGATTAACACATAAACAATCTAAGTGCCATTAGCTTTCCTCCCCAAAACTGAAGAAGAGGACAATAAGCATGCAGGCTCGGATTATTCAAAGCAAGATAATTAATCGCAATCTATATTTGGATTTATTCCTAGTTTTAAGGTTAATTGACAATCTATAGACAAAGGGAGCTTCTCACCTTTTCAAAATCTTGCCATTGTTTCATTGGGCCCTGAATTTCAAACATGCAAGTATAGGCCTTGCAAATGGCTAGGTCATGTGGCGTTTCTAAAATTAAGTACACAGTTGGTAGTTAAATTAAGATCTGACCTTATCCAGCTGAAACACAAGCGGTCTCTGGCCTGCAGGAAAGTATGACACATGATAGCTCCAAAAGCTCATCAAAAGTAATCCGAGGGCTGACTGGTATAATAAGATTATCTGCAACCTGATTGGCTCAGCCAGACCACTTTAAGAAAACAAATGAGCTGTCATCTTACATTAGCATTGTAATCCCAATGAAACTGATCGTTAACATTCCCATTAAGTGTAGTCAAGGATCGCACCTAGATATCAAATTCTGAAAGCACTGCTATGGACAGGGCTCCAGTGAATTTGAGAGAACTGAACTATGATAGCCTCAACCATGAGCTGGTATACTTTTGATTTGAAAGCATCTTAACATATGCCTATGAGGCATACAGAAAATTCTATTGACAGCACTACTTGGCAAGATGCCCAAACGAAGCTCACCAGTTCATAATGGTGACAGCTACTGTTATCTGTTTATTTCCTTTCCCCTCTCAGCATCTGTTCGTTACTAGAAGTACTGCTTCCCTTCTGAACAGGAAGGCAGTTTCTAAGCTATCTTGACTTTCTGCCAAAAACATGGGTCAAGGTGATGTTGATTCTGGTAAGTTAGGGAGTGACATTTAATAGAACGTGATGCATCATGCTACAAAATTAAAGGCCAATGAAGTTTAAATGATAGCTCAGTGCTTCTTTACAGTTGTTGACATATCTTTTCTGTGCACCTGAATCTAAATTTCCTTTGGTCTCTATGCCTATTTTTCCTGTGATATTATAGCTATTCATATTGCTTCCTCCTGTTTCTAATTAGTGGGATTTTCAAAATGCGGGAGGGTGATACTGTTTTCAGTACAGTAGACCCTCGGCTTACATATGCTTCAGGTTACATATGCTTCACGTTACAGACTCCACTAACCCAGAAATAGTACCTCGGGTTAAGAACTTTGCCTCAGGATGAGAACAGAAATCATGCTCCGGCAGTGTGGTGGCAGCAGGAGGCAGTGGCGTAGCGTGGGTTGTCAGCACCCGGGGCAAGGCAAGTAATTTGCGCCCCGTAACCCGTGGATTTGCGCCCCATAACCCTAACCCCCAGATGTTGCGCCCGGTGTGGCCGGCACCCCTGCACCCCCCACGCTACGCCACTGGCTGGAGGCCCCATTAGCTAAAGTGATGCTTCAGGTTAAGAAACAGTTTCAGGTTAAAAACTGACCTCTGGAATGAATTAAGTACTTAACCCGAGGTACCACTGTACTCTCAAGTAAAGTAAACTTTGGGTTGTGAAAGTGGCAAACCCGTAAGTATTTTTCCGAGTTTTGCCACTCGTCTATGCACAGAAGCACTCTGCCGCATGCACAAAAGCACTCTAAGAATCCTCTGGATACAGATTTTGTGGCGTATGCACAGACCTCTGGAATGAATTAAATTTGTATCCAGAGGGTGCACTGCAATGCCAAACATGCTGGCAAGCCCATTGTGCAGCAATGCAAATACAATCCACTAACTGCTAGGCTAGGGATGTGGGTGGCGCTGTGGTCTAAACCACTGAGCCTTGGACTTGCCGATCGGAAGGTCGAATCCCTGCAATTGGGTGAGCTCCCGTTGCTCATTCCCAGCTCCTGCCAACCTGGCAGTTCGAAAGCACGTCAAAGTGCAAGTAGATAAATAGGTACCGCTCCGGCGGGAAGGTAAACGGCGTTTCTGTGCGCTGCTCTGGTTTCACCAGAAGCGGCTTAGTCATGCTGGCCACATGACCTGGAAAAACTGTCTGCGGATAAACGTCGGCTCCCTTGGCCAGTAAAGCGAGATGAGCGCCGCAACCCCAGAGTCGTTTGCGACTGAACTTAACTGTCAGGGGTACTTTACCTTTTAACTGCTAGGCTAATTTTTAAAAATAGAGCGGAAAACAGCTAGGAAAATACTTCTATGGTTGCTGGCTACAAAATAGTTTGGAAGATGTCCTTGTTTAGTTCAGTACAGGATGGCAATTATTCATTCATTTGGTGGAAAGGCAGGTGTTAGAGCTGCTCCCCGATCCCAGCTCACAGAGGATCACGCTAGCCAGCGTTCGCTTTATAAAAGTCTTTATTGAGTTACAGTTTCCATTTCCAAGCTGCTGCGTGCAACTCTACGTCTTATGGCTAGACCGGCGAAGCTCCGTCTGAATCTCCGCCCCTCGTACACCAACTTAATATCCTCGCCTTACTCCACCTTTTCCGCCTGACCGTCCTTCTCTGGGTCCCTCTGCCCCCCGTGGTCTCCTCCCTCCGGGACTCCTCTGACGCTGACCCCCCGGACCCTCCTGTCTCCTTGCGTCGGGCTTTAGGACCTGGCTCCCTTTCCGGGCTGCTTACTGCGCCGCCTTCCCGTGCATTTGAACTTGGCGCGCGCGCCCAGCCTTCCACTTTCCGCTTGACCGTTTCTTCGCTCCCCGATGGGGGTGTGGTCACTCCTGACTCATGCCCTCCTCCCTGCTGCGAGCTGCCAGGGCTCGATCCCTGACGTCCTTCCTCTCCACTGCGCTCTGGTGGGGACGCTGGCCCCGATTTCCAACTGCTGCCCTCTGAACCCCCGCTGGTCCCTTCCTCCTGGGGTGTCCCCCTAGGCCCCCCCTTTGCTCTGGCCACTGGCGCTCCTTTCTGTGAATCTTCCGATTCACTGGAAAGACTCGGAGATCTCGGGTCGTCGTCATCACTCATCCTTTCTTCGGACTCCTCCCCCTCGCTCTCTGTTTCCTCCCTTGCCCTCGCCTCTGCCCTTGAACCCCTGACAGCAGGTGTCTACAAACAGGTAGTTCTCCTCTTACACAGAGGTTATGCTCCTGGCTATCACATTTACCGTATTTTTCGCCCTATAGGATACACTTTTCCCCCTCCAAAAATGAAGGGGAAATGTGTGTGCGTCCTATGGGGCGAATGCAGGCTTTCGCTGAAGCTTGGAGAGCGAGAGGGATTGGTGCGCACCGACCCCTCTCACTCTCCAGGCTTCAGGAAGCTCTCTGCAAGCCTTGGGAGCCTGCGGGAATACTCGTCGGGCTCCCTAGGCTTGCGGATAGCAGCCTGCATCTCGAAGCCTGGGGCGCGCTTCTCCCCGCCGCCAGCCCCACAAGCTGGGGGACAGTGGGGAGGCGCAGTGCCACCATCCCGCTGTTCCCCGACCTGGTTTGGGCTTCAGGCAGATATCTGCAAGGCGTGGGAGCCCGGTGGGAAGTCGCGCCGGGCTCCCAAGGCTCGTGGAGAGCTGCCTGTTCAGGGGGCTGGGGTCGGGGGAAGCTCGGGCTTCCCCCGCCCCAACCCCGCGTCTGGGGGGGGGGGAAATAATTCTTTTACTTTATTTCCCCCCCAAAAAAACCTTAGGTGCGTCCTATGGGCTGGTGAGCCCTATGGGGCGAAAAATACGGTAAGCAAAATCCAGCAAAGCCAGAAGAACCCCTGCAACAGCTCTAGCTGCTTGAAGCCAGTGCCCTACGGTCCTTGCCATGCAATGTGGAAAGCTTCTAAATCCCCAAGGCTCTGAGAAGGTTGCAAGGGGGCTCCCACAAGATCTCAGACAGCCAGTGATGGAAACTGAGATATGAAAGCTAGGAGCTAAATGGCACCTTGAACCTTATGGGTGCAACAATGTAATGTCTAGGCACGCTTGTTTTTATAACAAGAATACAAAGCTCAAAATGAATGAACTGCAAGCTAAAATATTGTGTTCATTTTTCACATGGTCTAGTCCTTCCCCTGCCCACCCCCCCTAATATTCTTAAGGTCTCTTCTCCAGTCCTCAGAGAATAGCTGGAAGTGGGGAGGCAGAAAAAAAGGTCCTCTTTTCCTTCCATTCTGCAGTTCTAATCTGAAATCTCAGGTGCACTTACTGCACCCAGAGCTCAGGAACTGCTCACGCTAATGAAATTCCCTGTCGTAATATGCGCCTAGAACAATGGGGAGTTTCAAACACTTCAGAAAGCCCTAGAAGGGCAGAATTTCTCACTCTTCTACTTATTCATGCATGTTATTCATGTAAAGCTCGGATCACAGGATAGCTGGGATAACTCTGTTGGTAGAACATGAGACACAATCTCAGAGCTGTGGGTTTGAGCCCCATGTTGCAGGAGGTTGGACTAGATGACTCTCGTGGTCCCTTCCAACTCTACAATTCTATTATTCCAAGTAAATAAGCGTAAGATGTGAGTTACCTGTACATGTGTGCACATAGAACATGGATTAAACACAATCACCTGAAGTTTTTATTGGAAGCATCTTACTGAGTCCAGTGGGACTTATTCCCAAATAACTATACCTTCAAATGCAATCTTAGGCTACATTCCTGTAAAAGCACTTGATTACTGAGCTGGCAACAACATGAATAGGGTAAGGTGGAAACGCTAATCAGGAAATGTAATTTAGTGTGAGCTCCTTATACTAAACTTGGATTTTAACAGGTATAGAACTCATAATTTCAACCCTTTTCCTTAGCCACTTTATTATGTTGGATCAATATGCAGCGCGCCAACTGGCTATCAGGGGACCATAAACCGTTTTCACCTCATTGCCAACCCACACGGCACCTTCACATGCAGAAAATTAAGTTTATTGCAAGCATACAACAGGTGCAGTATGCTTTAAACCGGGGCAGTGGTGGTAGTTTGTGTATGGAGTGGTCAGTCTTCTTTCTGTCAAGGGCAACATTTCCTTAGCAGCCATCGATCCCTGTGGGAAGGAAGAAGAGAGTGGAGTTAAAAGCAACCTCTAGGTCTGCTCCAGCTGGACCACTTGCACAACCAGCTTTTATTTCATTTTACTTGATTACTTCAGTATTTTGCAATCGCAAAGCGCCTTGGGCACCTTGGCAGAAAGGCAGCCTATAAAAGCAAGGAGTTAAGTAATGCAATGGTCCTTTGAGGTAACCACGCTGGAGGCAAAAAGAGAGAGCGAAGAACCAAATATGCATGAACAACCTGAGGGAGAGCAACAGAAATTAGGAATTTGTGCAGCGCTTCAACATATTCAAAGGCACTTCTCAAAACTACCTCAGCAGTCTACCACTGCTATGAAAAGGTAGGGTGGTAGCGGCGGCTCCGTATTTTAGGTGGGAATTCTTGTTTTAAACCTACCTAGAATTTACCCTAGAAATCCCAAACAAATATGAAATATTTATAAATATGTATATGCATATGTATAAATATAAAATATTTATAAATATATATATGCATATATATAAATATAAAATATTTATAAATATATAGAGTGCTATTTTCCTAGAAAAAGAGGTGCCAGAACTCAACATGAACGCCTCCCTCGTTCTTTTATAATGCCAATTGCGCCCACTTGATGGGAGCCGGAACTGAGTTCCGCCGAGTTCCGCCTTGAAAATTGCCCTGAATATATCGTTTAAACTGCGCGACCATTGACCCTCCTTCCGAGCACGAGCCACTCGGGTGCAAAACAACCTCTCCCGCAACACGCCCCGCCCTCTTGGAGAAATATGGAGATCAGCGGGAGGAAACCAACCAATAGGCGCTCGGAGTGACACAGGCTAAGCGCTTCACGTTTTAAAAAAATAAATAAATAAATTCTCGCTTTGCGCATGCGCATACTGGCCTGGTCTTACGGGCACTCAGAGATGTACATCTTAAGTCTCTGACACGGAAGCGACCTTGCGCGACGTCCCCGACGCAGAGCCCTTTTGCGCATGCTTACGCGGAGGTTGCCTGTACGCTCCTCCCGCCCTTGTCATGTGATCGAAGCGCTGGCGCGCGCTCCTCCGCCCTCGGAGGTATTGCCTTGCCCTACAGCCGGCGGCTTGCGCACGCGCGTCGCCTTCGCTGCCTCGCCGGCTTCCGTTGTTTCTCAGGATTGGTCTGTTGTTGTTTTTTTGGTTGCCCCAGAATCCCTTGCGCGCGGCAGCTGACATATAGTAGCTATGGCCGGAGTCCTGAAGAAGGTGAGAGGGTTGAGGTCGGTGGCGGGGGCGGGCGTCGTGCGGCAGCCGGCGGGTCCCCTCGTACGGGTTGCTTAGCCAAGGGCGAAAGCTCGCTTCATAGGACGAGGGGAGGCTGCTTGTGGCTCCCTCAGTGGGGACGCAGCCTGACCCCTTGGCTGCGAAGATACCAAGGATGAGGCGAACCCTATATGTGCTGCCTTGAGCGCGTTAATAATAATTTATTATTTATACCCCGCCTATCTGGCTGGGTTTCCCAATGTGAGGGACATAAATGTCACCAGAGACTCATCACTTGGTGTCTTGTGGCAGCTTCCCTGGCAAAAGGGCTGGGTTGATGTAGTTATCCAGTGCTTTTTTTCTAAAAAAATTTTTAGGGGTACTCTCATTTTGACTCAAGAAAACCACCCTATTATAGTTCAAATCGGGGAAAAATAAATACAGTAAATGGATGAAAGGCTGCCATTGGGGGTAGCAATGGAACTGACGATCCACTGCAACAGAACTGATGATTCACCGTGCTAGAGAAGAAACTTTTTTTTTATTTAAAAAATTAATTTCTTCTCCCATTAGATTCACAAAATTTTTAGGGGTATGTGTACCCCTGTGTCCCCAGAAAAAAAGCACTGTAGTTACCCTTTTTTAAACTCTGGCCCATGCAAGTGAAGCTGCTTGCCCCAAGTTTCCAGTAGCTTTGGGGTAATGTCCTGGGTGTGTCAAGGATCAAGATGATCAAGGGTCTGGAAACCCGTGCGTTGCAATGGGTTTTGGATTAGATGACCTTTGTGGTCCCTTCCAGTTCTACAGTTCTGTGATCTTCCAGTTTGGGATCCCAGCCTCATGAGGAATGGTTGAAGGAGGTGGGTGTGTTTAGCGTTGGAAAGAGGAGAACTTTCTGACAGTAAGAGCTTCTTTGACGGTGGAACAGACTCTGGGAGGTTGTGGACTTTTCTTCATTAGAGAGTTTTAAGCAGGTGTCATGGATTGAGATTCCTGCATTGTAGTGGGTTGGACTAGATGACCCTTGGGGTCCTTTCCAGCTCTACAGTTCTGTGATTCTATGATGTGGTAGATGTGTTGCTTGGTGCGGCATCCAAACAACAAAAGCATCTTTTGAGCTTCAGAAACAGTATTTTTATACACACGCAAATGTAAAACTCGTATCTTAAAATGATCCTTAATTAAGGATGCTTATTAAACTTATCTATTTTTAAATCTCTGCAGACCACTGGACTAGTTGGGCTAGCTGTATGTGAGGCACCACATGAGGTAAGTATAAAGCATTTGCTTATTTGAAATTGAAGAAAACATAAGGAAAGTATTGCTCACCAGGAGCATATTTCATCTTAATAAGTTGAGATATGAAGAACTGTTTTGACTGTACACACAGCCCCTTTTGTGTGAGCCAAGAAGTAAATCAGCAGTCTTCCAATAACTAGAGTTTTCCATGCTTGGGAATGTTAAGTAGGCTCATTTTATATGTTGCATTAGATTTATTAAAGTAATTAATCGTAATGTTCTAACTACCTTAACATGCAATTTCTCCAGTATCTTGAATTTCAGGTGGTTAAGATTCTAATAGTTTTGCAGAATTGTTCCCTTTGCTACTGAAGAAAGCTGTGAACTTTATAGTCATTTTATTACAATTCTTAGTTCACTGTATAGGCTTTTATGGTTCACCTTAAATTAATGTTTGCTATCTGATCTTTTCAGCGCCTCCGGGTACTCTACTCAAAAATCCTTGCTGCTCTGGATAGTATGCCCAAAGATGCATCATATAGGAAGTATACGGAGAACATTGTAAATGAGCGGCTTGATATAGTAAAAACAGTAAGTATGTCATACATTTTAAGCATCTCAAATTACATTGTTCAAGTGGCCTATTGTCCCTTGCTTCACTTACCAGATTTGCTTTTTGAATGCTGTCAAATAGAGATGCATCATAAACTGGCACTAGTTGCCATGGGACTGGAGAGCTGAACAGAAAGGCCACTCTAGCCTCTCCTATCAGCTGTAAAATCTAGGGCTGCTGGGAGGCTGCACACATACACCCCCCTTCCAAGTAGGGTATTAAGGCAAGGTGATCATCCATTGACCTGAGAAGGAGCAGTAGCAAGTTTGCTTCTCTCAAGACTGCAGAGCTCAAGGAAAACACACTTTGGCATCATCATCATCATCATTATTAGATTTATATACCACCCTTCATCAAAAGATCTTAGGGTGATTCACAAAATAAAAATGCAAGAGAAAAGCACAAATAAAAAGTTATAACAGAAGCAACAAAACATTAACCCCTCCTACAAACACTGGACCAGAAACTAAGGGCTGCTGGGTGTGTGGGTTTAGTGTATATGTTTTTACAATCTGTTGTAAGATGCCTTGAGGATCATTCATTCAAATGTTTCCAGTGAATTCAGCAGGGCTTACAGAATTGCAGCCTTGGTTTTAGTTTCATCTTGCACTCATCCCAGAAGAACTATTATAGGTTATACAGTGCATCTGTTTTGTATTGTATGGGTTTGTATTGTCTGTGTGTTCTCTGGAGACCAGAATAGGAATAATCTACTTACCTAATGTCTTTTAGTAAGTTTGTCAATATCAGATCAAGATATACATTTTAGTCCTCCATGGTAACTTAATTTCTGCCCCCTCTTGAATGGTTAAAATACCAAGAACAATATTATTTATTTATTTATTTATTTATACATACATACATACATACATACATACATACATACATACCCCGCCCATCTGGCTGGGTTTCCCCATCGTATCTGATGTTTGAAAAGCCTTAACTTTTCCACAAGGGTAATCTGAACTACTTATTGCTTGTTGAATTGAAAGGTTGTGGACATACGCAGCTGGCAACCTATGGCTTCATATTCCTTTTGACATTCTGAGAAAGAACTACTATTCTAGACTATATACCACTTTTGGAAAAGACTCATTGGGTTATTTTTTACTCTGAGTTAGATATAGAAAGATACTGTTTGAACATACATCAGAGCACATCTGAGCCTTTCACTTGTTCTTGAACTTGCAGGAACCTGATGTGCAAAAACTGGAAAGTAAAATCAATGGTGGACAGATAGAAGAAGTGATTTTGCAGGTAATATCTTCACAAATATCTAATTATTTAGCAAATATAGTACTGTTTCTTATAGGCTCTTCTGGGGAAAAAATGAAAGGAATCCAATTATCTGTTTAAAATGCTGAATTCTGAAAGTGAGACATTTTTTGGGGGGGGAGGGGTTCTCTGTAGAGAAAATGTAGTCAGTTTGTTGTCAATATGGAGACCAGCCTTTACTGCAGCAAAATATGAAATGTTAACTGTCACTTATAAGTAATCAAAGGATTGCATTGTGATTTTTTTTATAGTATGTCTCACTGAATCTCGCCAAATATGGTGTTATTATACATGGCAAACTAAATTTTGCTGCTGACTAGAAAAAAGAATTTCCTAGCAATGTAGCCAATCACTTAACCTCTTACGTCCTAATAAGGCAGACATAAAGACGAGTGTTACAGCGTTTGCTACACTGATGGAACCTTTTCTAACATAACCTTGTCTATACAGCCCCTCAAAACTCTTTGAAATGTTGGTAGCGAAAACCATTATTACAAAAATGTTGAGGGCTGCATACAACTAACCAGGCATGCAATCAGCAGTCAGTGCAAGGACTCCCGCTAGCACAACAGGGAATGATTTGCCCACCCTGTATACCCCCCCAAATGGGCTTGGGGAGGGGGTGCCTGGAAAACCCCCAAAACAGCATGTGGGGGGGGGAGGAGAGATCATTCCATTGGGCAAACTGAAATATTTGGGAGGATGGGACTATTGAAAGAGCACAATGCTGACTTCCCCTCCTTTGTTTTCCATGTTACCCCATTATGGAACTCTAAGCAGGCTTTACCAGACTGGATGCACTGCTCTCTGATGCATTAACAGTCTTCAGGATTGGGACCACTGACTTGGTCAAAAGATATACGGTGTTTATGTATTTCAGTGCTGTACCAATTAAATTGTTTAATAAAAACCAGTGTCATCAAAAATCTGTATTTTAGTATGTAATTAGTGGATCTAATGGATGTTCATTGTCTAGCTTAGATGCAGCAACTTTGGGAAAGTTTTTTTTTTATATATAAAAATAATAATCTCCTTTTTTATTTTAACAGGCTGAAAGTGAGCTCAGCCTAGCCAGGAAAATGGTGCAATGGCGACCCTGGGAGCCTTTGGTTGAAGAACCTCCGTCTGATCAGTGGAAATGGCCAATATAGTTAATGTTATTTGTAGCTTTTGGAAGTGAAAAATATGTAATCAAATGTATGCTGGACATGAATGAAAAATATCTTAATTCTACTCATAAGATTTGTTTGCTATAATTATTGGTTATATATTCAAGTAAGCTGTTCTCAAAGAAGACCTGTTGAAATTAATGGCATGTTAGTTCAGTGCATCTTCTCTGAATATGAGTAGCGTAGATTACAGCCCATTAGTTGGAAGATCACTGTGAACTTACCACCAGGTGCGAATGGTTCTCAACAATTTAACTGTTATACTCTTAAATTCTATAGACACTCGCATGTATGGGAATCTGTATAGGGCATATAAGAACCTTCTTCCCCCACTCTGCCACCAACAACCCAGTGCATGGCTTACAACCCAGTGCATTCTTGAACAAGCAGATGGGCTAGATGAGCATTTGGAAGAAATGAACAGGCTTCCTGTTCCTTGGACTGCTTTGGTGTAGTACCTGTTTGAGTCTCCATGCTTGTGGAATGAGAGGGAGCACAAAAAACCCCAGAACTCTGTTATTCCTTACTGGACTTCTTATGTGCACAGGAGAAAGACTGAGTCTATTAGGTTCTAGAACAAGCTGCTAATAACATAGGCTGTATTGGAGGAGGAGGTCATCCATGGTTTACCTCTACTCTCAGAGGAAGAGGGAAAGGGCTTAGTGGTAAAGCATCTGCTGCCTGTTGGTGTAGACAACATTGATCTAGATTACCAATACCTTGACTCTATGAGGCAGCTTTCTATGTGCCAGGGCTATCTAAGTTTTGTATACCTGTGGAGGAAGGAACAGTTCTCAGTTTCCATGCTGTTTCCATTGGCAGAGCAGAGCTGCCTGCTTTCTCTGGTTAATTAGCCTTTTCCCCCAAGTAATACAGTGGTACATCGGGTTACAGACGCTTCAGGTTACAGACTCCGCTAACCCAGAAATAGTACCTCGGGTTAAGAACTTTGCATCAGGATGAGAACAGAAATTGTGCGGTGGCAATGCAGCGGGAGGCCCCATTAGCTAAAGTGGTACCTCAGGTTAAGAACAGTTTCAGGTTAAGAACGGACCTCTAGAATGAATTAAGTTCTTAACCCAATGTACCACTGTAGTTGACCTTGTTCTCTTTTCTAGCTTGGGTAGGATGAGAAAGGGAAGCTTTCAGAAGTGACTTGGTGAGTTCATTTTGTGGCATGGGAACTGGCAGCTTCCCAAACAGCAAAGATTTCCTCCTTCCTATCTTACCAGCCACGCGGGTGGCGCTGTGGGTAAAACCTCAGCGCCTAGGACTTGCCGATCGCATGGTCGGCGGTTCAAATCCCCGCAGCAGGGTGCGCTCCCGTCGTTCGGTCCCAGCGCCTGCCAACCTAGCAGTTCAAAAGCACCCCCGGGTGCAAGTAGATAAATAGGGACCGCTTACCAGCGGGAAGGTAAACGGCGTTCCGTGTGCTGCGCTGGCTCGCCAGATGCAGCTTGTCACGCTGGCCACGTGACCCAGAAGTGTCTGCGGACAGTGCTGGCTCCTGGCCTATAGAGTGAGATGAGCGCACAACTCTAGAGTCTGGCAAGACTGGCCTGTACAGGCAGGGGTACCTTTACCTTTACCTATCTTACCAGCCAAAGTGATGCCACCAGGGCAAGAGGCTGCTACAGATGAGACTTGGAATAGCAAAAGCCTGTGCATGCAACAATAAAACTTTTACTCTGTATGACACAGGTAGGGAGCCTGTGCCCGTTAAATGTTCTTTAAGTCCCATCAGTTCTGACCATTGGCCATGCTGTCTGAGATTGAAAGAAACTGGACTCCCAACAACATATGGAGGAGCCACCCCTGGTTTTATGCTTTACTGACATTTAAAGCTGATTGCTGCTCGCTTGGAAATATATTTTAAAGTATTGTAATTCTTCAAGTCGCTGTGACTGAAGAATGCTTGGTGTTAGATGGGACCTGTAAACACAGTTATTTACTATCTTGTAAAAAATACTGTGTTTTAGAAGGAAAGCCACTAGAGGGCATCAAGTGTAACAGTGGTAAACGTTAAATACAGAAGGAAGGGTCACAACTGGATGAAGATGACTATGGTAAAAAGAAACAAAAAACCAGTGCAACACAAATATGCAATTCAGTGCAACACAAATATGCAAAAGATTATATGCAATTTGTTCAATTCAATCGTTGAAGGGAGCTGCACTTTTATCTTTCCAATTCATCAGTATTATTCTTGCACGTTAGAATAAATGGAACAGTTTCTGTGCTTTTTTCCTGCAAGTCATCTGTTTTTGAAGATCAAAGTTAGCGATTCTTTTTGGGGTTGTGTGCCAGGAATAAGCCTTGCCTAGCGCGCAAAATAACAGCCTGGCACGGGTACTGATAGCCCCGCTTGCACCGCACAGCAGTCAAGCGCCTGCATTCTCCATCTCGCCAACCCCGCTGTATACAAAACTGGCACGCAAGAGTGTGTCGCGCATGCGTCCCTTATCAGCTACACATTGATTGGCCCACTTTGTCCTGCCTCTCGCGAGAGTTGGCGGCGCCGCAGTTGCTATGGATACAGCGACTCTCCGTTCCCGCTTGGAGGCGGAGCGGGTCGGGCTGATCCAGCGGCCGCTTCGGGGAACGTACGCGAGGACCTAGCGCTACGGTAAGCTCCTCCGCCTTTATTAATGCCGTCGTTAATATCATTATTATTCTCATTATTAACCACCCGGTGTGAGAATAACGCAGAGAAGCTGGAAAGGAGCTGAGGCGGAGCCGCCATGACGTGAACGGCTGCCTGAGCCCTTTACTACAATTCCCGACATGCTGTGCGCTAAGGCCTACGTTTAAAAGCCGTCATGGCGGTGGCGCAAAGCACTTCGGGACAAGTAGTCGGTTGGTTTTGAGCGGGTTAATTGAGCAGTGGGTTTTCGCTGTCCCCTCTCTCGCCTCACATAAATAATAATGGATGGCTCGTGTTGCATTCTGGGAGCTGTAGTTCCTGTAGTTCCTACAGATGCTGTGGTACATGTGATGCCATTTGATTTAATAAATGATGATAAAATAAAAAATAATTAAAAAATAAAGGTGCTGCTTGCTGGCTTGCTGCTGCTCCTTAAACAACATTTTTCTCCCTTATTCAGGCTTAACTTCCCAAATGCAATCATTTATCTGTAGTCCAAATAGTTTGTATGTGCCCCCCTTAAAATGTACCGATGTTGATAGATGGGAGATTAATTTTAATGAGTAGATTCACTAGTTAAGAAACCTAATTTCAATGACAAGTTTTAAAATGTAGATTTTGTTATGTACTGAAGTTCTCACCCTGGCCACCAGGAGTATCATGTATATAAGGTAGTTTTCACTCAGGTCCACGTCAGTTACTTTAGGTGGGAAACCCTGGATTGTTGTTGCTACAATGTTGACAGCCGGTTGCCTATAAAAGCAGGCCGGCTGAGCTGTCTGCTGTTCAGTTCAGTTCTGTTCCAGCTTACAAATAAAGAGCTGCTTTGGAGAAATCGCTGCGTCGTCTGCTATGTCTACCCACTATTTAACAGATTTCTTACTTTTAAGTCCTTCAGCATAGAAAAGTAGGAATTGAAACTGGGCAAAGAAGAAAAGCATGCTGTTCATTTAGTGTCCATGGGATGTGCTCTTAACTAGTCTCTAAAGTTGCATTCTGGAATGTAAAAGTAGTTGGCCGCACAGCACAGTGAAATTTTATAGTTTGTGTGTGCTTAGTAGGATGAGGTCCGTCCACCCAGCAGTTGTGTTGTACAAAGGGCAACCAGTTATTCAAGACAAAGGACTAAATGTACTTTTTAGTTGACATTTCCCTGTAAATTATGCTTTCAGCTGATGTGAAGGTTAAAAAGGTGTACTTCTCCTTTCAGGAAAATGGCTGATCCAGAAGAAAAGGCAGGTGGCCTGGCTGAAGCAGAGGCTGAAACTCAAATTTTGGAGGACACTTCTGAAACAAAACAAGCAGAAGAAAGTGCTGAGGCTGTAGGAACTACGCAAGAGCAGACAGGTGCAACACAACAGAATGAAACAAACCTGCCTACGGAGCAGGAACAAGGCCCAGAATTAGCAACACGTGAGTTGGGTGATGCTGGGGAACCACTACAGGAGCTGACAGCTACTGAGGAACCAGCCGCTGCAGAGGAACCGGCTGCCATGGTGGAAGTAGCCACTGCTGAGGAACCGGCTGCTACTGAGGAACTAGCCGCTGTTACGGTACCGGCTGCCACTGAGGAACTAGCTGCTGCGGAGGAATTAGTGGAGGGGCCAAGCATTGCTGGGGAACAGGACCAGAATCTTCCTGCAGCTGAGGAACCTGTCGCTGCTGCAGAAGGGGTTCAGGAGCCATTTACTGCAGACGGACTGACAAAGGGTTTGGACGTGATAGAAAAAGAAGAGGAAGCTCATCCAAAATCCCAGGATGTGGTCCCAGGGTTTCAGAAAGCTATTCTAGAGGTCCAAGATCTTGGTGTCAAAATCGAACCACCTATAGTTGACACAGATGCATCTAATATCACAGTTGCTGCTGATGCTGCTTCAGTTGGTGCTGCTGAAAGTTTTTCTGAAAGGGCGGCTGATTTTGCAGCACATATGCATGCTGCAAGTGCTTTGTTAACAGAAGCGTTAGCATCTGAAAGAGAAGAGTCTGAAGCAAGTACCGAAGAAGAAGCTACTGTAACAGGTGGGCAGTTGTCAGATACCATATATTGCTGCTGCCTTTACGACTAAGAACTGTTACTGATTAGATGATGTTAATAATGTTGATGACTGAAATGCGTCACTTTCTTAGGTACACTAAAATCACTTCCAGCTAGTGGCTCCTTATTAATAATAAAAATTATAAAAATAATAATTTATTACTTATACCCCGCCCATCTGGCCAGGCCTCCCCAGCCACTCTGGGCGGCTTCCAACAGGATATTAAAAACACCGTAAAACATCAAACATTAAAAACTTACCTAAACAGGGATGCCTTCAGATGTCTTCTAAAAGTCAGATAGTTGTTTATTTCCTTGACATCTGGTGGGAGAGCATACCACAGGGCAGGCACCACAGCCTGGTTCCCTGTAACCTCACTTCTCGCAGTGAGGGAACTGCCAGAAGGCCCTTGACACTGGACCTCAGTTTATATGCTTCTTTCCCACAAATTGAGCCCAATGCAATGTACAGGGAGGACAGTAAAAAAAATCACAAATAAATCTAAAAACAAAAACTAAACATTGTATAGCAACCACCAATTTACAGAAAAGTGACAAGAAAAAAGATCAAAAGCCGAAAGCTGCATGGAACAGTCATGTCTTGCAAAATCACTGCGATGCAGTTTGCTGAAGCTATAGAGTAGGAGAATGAATGCTACCATTTGGGTCCCTCAACTGAAAAGGGTCAGTTTCAGGAGCTTGCCAAGCCTCCATGGGTTTGGCAACAAATACATGGTGACCTCAACCCAGTTAGGCTCATTCCTAAATGTGGCTTTTGATATTCAGTAAGCATGCTTAGAATTGCACTGTCAGATTTGTATGTGGGAGAAATAATTATTTTTTGTATACATGTACTCCAGCATTTGTACAAAAGCTGTCCATATGAGCAAAAGCTTCCCAATTGATTTCAGTGGGCTGGGTCCCCCACACCCCGTGCAAGTGGAATTAAGTTTTGTTCATATTTAGAGACACCACTTTGGGTACAACGTATATGTTGCTGGTGTGTGCATAGAGTAAATTGTTGCTGCTTCTGATCATTATAACAGCTAAAGGATTATATATCATTGTCTCTTTTCTGTATGTTTTTATTTTAAATGGTGTCATAGTTATTATTCTATAATAGCAGATCTTGAAATAATTACATTTAAAAGAAGTAGATTATAACATGTCACATAATCTGTTACATTAAAAAAAAAAAAATTCTACCAAGGCCAGAAGAGAAGGCAAGGTAAATTCAGCAGTGTTCTTGTTTAGCCGTTTAGTCGTGTCCGACTCTTCGTGACCCCATGGACCAGAGCACGCCAGGCACCTCTGTCCTCCACTACTTCCCGCAGTTTGGTCAGACTCATGCTGGTAACCTCGAAAACACTATCCAACCATCTCGTCCTCTGTCGCCCCCTTCTCCTTGTGCCCTCCATCTTTCCCAGCATCAGTGTCTTCTCCAGGGAGTCTTCTCTTCTCATGAGGTGGCCAAAGTACTGGAGCCTCAGCTTCACGATCTGTCCTTCCAGTGAGCACTCAGGGCTGATTTCCTTAAGAATGGATGCGTTTGATCTTCTTGCAGTCCATGGGACTCTCAAGAGTCTTCTCCAGCACCATAATTCAAAAGCATCAATTCTTCGGCGATCAGCCTTCTTGATGGTCCAGCTCTCACTTCCATACATCACTACTGGGAAAACCATGGCTTTCATGGTTCAGCAGTAACTTGACTTAATTCAGCAGTAACTTGACTTAATTCATCTAACTAAACAGTACAGTTTTTAGAATTTGCTGTTGATGAAATACAATAACAGATGTTTTGTTTTTGTTTTTTCAGTTCGATTCATGCTACATCCTGCTATCCAGGTTTTCACTAAGTCTTTTAACATTAACCAAACCGTGGAGCAAATGAAGAAGTACTTCGCAGGACGCTTAAAAGTACCACTGGATATTTTACAAATTATGTTGCTAGGTATGTATAAATCACTAGTGAGAATTAAAGTGAGTATTGATCAAGGTTTGCTTATGAACAACAGCAACAGAAAAGTTGTGATTTGCTAGAGAGATTTCGTATTTTGCTGTTGTTTTATTTAGTTTTCAATTTTTGTTTGGTCTGTGTTAATTTGTCTTGATGTTAATTTGAGTCATTCTCATAAAGATAAGTAGTTCCTTTGTTAAACTCTTGCTTCATAATAGACGAACTAGATAGAAGATGGATGTGGAGAAAAGAGCTTTGATTGGGATATCAGTTGGGACAGCATTGCCACAGGCTTTTACTAAGTTTGGTTGCATATCCAAAACCATCCTTAATTTTCTTTTCTAAAAAAAGAAAATGTTGATTTTTTATTTGATGTGAAATATTAATAATCACTGTTTACTTTTAGGGCGAATAACTGACAATAGTGAAACACTATGGAATCTTGATGCTAAACCTTATGGGACCATACAAGTTGATATATTCTCCCTTGATGAAGAAAACTTTCCCCTTAAAGCATCTAAACTCCTAGAGGAATACTACATGCCTGATGTTATAACTTTTAAAGTGCAAACAGGTAGACAGCAATGTTGAAACATGCACTCTAGCTCATTCTGGTCAGATATTATTCTGTAACATTCTCTGTATAATTTAATAATACTGTTTAATCTGAACAGATGCAGAAACATTTAAGGAAATAAATGTGTCAATTAAAAGGCCAAATTTTCAGAAACCGTTTTTGGGTGGATATAGACATAAAGAAACAGGCACAGAATATCATAATGCAGGATCACAGACAGACCCCAAAAAACGTCCAGACAAAGGCTATGAAGAGTTCTGTAGGTCAACACAGGTATGTTTGCCAGAGTATAAAATAAAGCACTAATATGAAAATAATTGTATAAAGTAATTGCAAAGCTAAGTAGCTTCTAACAAATTAGAATCCTATAATTATATGAGTTATTTCTTCATCCATTTGTAAATGTGCTTTGTAGTCATTTTAATTTGTCCAATGTTTCTAGCACAGCCTCTCTTTATTATGTGATCATTAAAATGAATAATTTTATTTCTAGACAGTTGTTGAGAGGAAAAAACTGCAAAATACGAGAAATTCAACTTCCACTCAGATGACCAAAATTGGTGTCTATATATCAAACGTCACTGACAGATTGATAGAACCAAAAGGGTATGTGACAGCTGATGAATACCATGCACGAAGACTTCAGGCAGTAAGTACTCAGTCCGTTGAATTATCATCTTTAACCTAGCAGATTAAAAGACCCTGCAATCCTATACCCACTTACCTGGAGAGAAGTCCTATTGATTAGACACCTATAACATTAAACTGCAAATGACAAATGTGATAAGTGAAATTTACATTTAAAGGGGACTCACATTCATCTTAATACATTACGAGTCGCACACAGTGCTTCATGTGGAGTTCCACTCACACAACAGGACTTTCTCTTCATCTCCTTCCTTGCACAAATCTTCTTTGGAGGGTCCCCCCAGCCTGTGGAGTAGATTTTCAGGGTGCGTAAGGAGCTTGTGCCAGTCAGGAGTGGAAGGGGAAATTGGTTATGCAAGTGGAAGTCTGCTCCGTGAACGGAAAAGCAGCACTGGATGCAAATTTATAATCTTTCTTCATAATATCCTGGTATGGAGAAGGCACATAACTGATGTTGTTTTTTTTTGAAACGCATATTCAGTATAAATAGTATATGAATCCATTCTAGCTTTGGATTTGATAGTCAAACAGCAGAATAGTGTGTGTCTCAGAAGTGAATTCTTATAAAGGTAAGTATATGATAAAGGCTTGTTTAAGGCAAGTGTTAATTCTGTAAATTGTCAAAAGTTTAAAAACGAAGAAAGCTTGCTCATTTTTCCCCACTTCAGTGATTCTTAAATTGTGGTCTGTAAATCACCAGTAGACCTTCCAGAAGACCACAGCAATCAGAATAAAACAATCTATGACTTTTCCTGGGCAAATAATGATGCATATGAAATGAAAACCCACCTTTTTCTTTTTATATTTATCATTTTTTGCGCTCTGATATGGTTGTGTTGAATATGTGGGATTTGTCCATGATCTGTGTCGCTGAGATATTTGTCAGTCAAGTCGCTATCGCTCAGGGCCTCTTCTTACACTGCAGTCATTAGCCTCAGTAACAAGGAACAAACCCAGATCAACAGTGCATATATGGACTTCCCAGCAAGTCTCCCATCCTTCCCTCTCACTCCGCACATTCATTATTTTAGTTAGCGTTCACTGTATAGCTCAGGGGTGAGGAATCTGTGACACTCCAGATGTTGCTGAACTACAGTTTCCATCATCCCAGACCACTGGGCCACTTTTGCTGGGCCTGATGGGAATTGGAGTCCAACAACTTCTAGAATGCCACAGGTTCCTCAGCTCTGCTAGAGCTGCATTAGACTGCAGAAACCATCTGTTTTAAATCTAGAAGCATTCTAAGTAGCCTCCTATATTGCTTCCACCTTAAATTGTGGAACAAACAAATCAGAATAATGCAACAAACTGTAAGAACTGCTCAGCTGTTCTGAAAGGGATCTCTGCTGAACACAGTGGGGCTTGTGTTTAAACATGTTTAGCATTAGTTTCTAAGGGTATGTCTGCCGTTGCATTTCAAAGCTTAATTTCTGCCCATAGTCATAATTTAAACAGCCATGTATGCATTACACATTTTAAAGAATTCTTTATAATAAGGGTCAATTCATCTATTGCTTCATTTAAAGATGTGACATTCTGGTTTGTAAATTACTTACTAAGAAAGCTAGCGAATTTGAAACGTATTTTTCTCGTAATTGCCAAAACATATAACAGATGCAGCAGAATATTGCCTTTTTCTTTCCTGCTATCTCCTATTCCCGTCTACAGGTAATTGTGATACAAACATATTTCCGGCGATGGCTAGCTAAGAACTTAGTAAATAAACTAAAAGAAGAATTGCGTTTGAGACTGGAATGGGAAGAACAAGAAGAACTAAGGAGGCAGAGAGAGAGGGAAGAAAAACTGCTAAGGGAGTATAATCGAAGGCTGAATCCTAGAACAAAGGATGATTTTGAATTACTCTATCATGCTTTAGAATGTAAGAGATCGTGTGTTTTTTGTTTTTGCATTTAAGAGATGCATATTTTTGGAAATTCTGAAATTTGCTTGGTCGAAAACAGGATATAACCATTGGAATTTTTTCTGGGACATTTTACACCAAACCACACTGGCTGTCATGAAATCACTGTTGAAATGGGATAGCTCATGCAGTTTTTCAATAAAACCATTCCAAAGGTCCGTTCAACTTCCAAAATGTTTGGAAACTAAAATGCAGCCCTGTCGGATGTTCGGCTTCCAAAAGAATGTTCTAAAACCAGAACACTCACTTCTAGGTTTTAATCGTTTGGGAGCCAAGGTGTTCGGGATCCAAGGTATGACTGTACAATCAAACTTCAGCTCCTGAACGCCTCCATTTTGGAATGTTTCGGCTCCCAAATGCCAAAAACCCAGAAGGAAATGCTTCGGTTTTCAAACTTTTCAGAAGCCGAATGGGCTTCCGGAACGGATTACTTTCGACAACCGAGGTTTGACTGTAAAGCGTTTTTTCTTTGCCAATGTAGCTGAGTCCAATGTTAACTAATGAAATGAACTCAAGACACTCATTGGCTGCATAGACATCAGGTTTCATGTAAATTGTGGGCTGGTTTCCAAGAGTCAGAGTTTGTTTGCTGCTGAAGATGGGGTGTGTCTTTAATTCCCATGTGAACTGAGCTAGACTGTCATGTTGCAGAAGCTCTTGGAATGCTCACTTTGTGCTAGGAGAACACCTTGCCTGAAGAAGTTGAGCGTAAGCCTTGATTGACTCATATGCTGCTTCTGGCTTTAGATGGAACAGCTTCAGATTGTGTTGCCTCATATCGCTGCCTTGTCTGCCAACAGTGTAGTCCTGCCCTGTTGTTTGCTTCTATTTCTGTTTGTTGTTGACTGGTTGCTTCCCTGCAGTGGCTGCTTTTCATTTTCATATGGGAGCTTAGTGATTCTCGGAAGCGTTGTTTAACTTGCTAGTAGAACTGCTTTCACATTCTTCCACTATTGCACTGAACTGCTGAGACAGCGATCCACTGAGTTTACTGTCCTTCAGAGGTTTGCGAAGGGCATGCCTACTGATTACAGTGATGGGAGCTTTTTACTTAGGTGACACGGTGCAGCTTGCGAAATGTATGGTTTGATTTCATACCAAAAATGAGTCATTCTATTAAAAACAAGAAAGGCGTTAAATAATACTAAATGGTTAACAAGGGGTTGTCCTACTCAGAGTAGACCCGTTAAAGTTAATGCACCTAAGTTAGTAATATTTATTAATTTGAATAGGTCTTCTCTTGAGTAGGACTAGTGTTGGATACAATCCAAGATGTCCTGCGGCTTCTTCATCCTTTCTGAAGCTGGTGCTGTGTTTGAAAGATTTCCTTCCCATGTCTATGCTTGAGAGAAGGGTGGAGGAAATCTTACTCGGCTCACACTTTAACCTTTCCAAGCTAAGAGCTGGAGCACAGGGAGAGATGAAGTCCTGTAGCCATACTGGACCAATGCTGAGGCAATGGTGGACACAAATGTTGAGTGGCTACCAGAGCTACCTAGAATGTGTGTCACTCTGATTATTACTCCCGTGTTGCGGACCAGAGGTTGAGGACAGAAAGTTGCAGGAGGGCATTAGCTCAGTGGAAGACCGCATTTGTATAAGGGAGGTCGCAGGTTCCATCCCCAACATTTCCAGGACCAGGAAACTCACCAAATCCTCATGAATAATACTGAGCTGAATGGGCCAATTGCTTGACTCTGAAAATGGCAGCTTCCTATGTTGGTTTAAAAGTACCTAATTTCATGGCAGAGGTAAAATACAGACAAACGATTTATGGCTTACACAGCCACTATGCTACGCCAGTTCTCAAAACAAGTGAAAACTGGTTTGCATATAGAGCTGCAAATTAAAGCAGCTCCAAGAAATCTGTTTTGAAAAATCATTTTCCGGAAGCAGGGAACAGTTTCTTTTCTTTGCATTGGCTGCCCCCTCATGGGTCCTCGAAAGCTGTGTAGACTTTGCTGCATTGATTTGAACAGCAGTGGCAGCTAACCAAATAAAAAAGAATAAAGCTGAAATATTCAGTGATAAAAACATGATCTTGATAGTCCTCTCCTCTGTGCTGCTTTTTTTATATCCTGGATGTTTTCTTCCTCTCATTCAATTGAGATACACTAATGGTTGTTACTCATTAGAATGAAAATGTTTGAGAGAATATTCTATAACACTTTTTGAATTAGTATTTTCCCTGAGCTTTTCAGAAATATGTAGCGAGCACGATCTTGATGATCTGGTGCTGCGATCTAGAGGACGTTGCGTTCAACTGGTACATTTGTTCACATTTTGGCTTTGTCATGGATTCACTTGGGCGTTCTTGGAAAAATTGCTTATTCCTCTTGGTCCCCATCTGTTAAATGGGAGGAATAACCCACTTCACAGGGCTCAGTGAAGACAAATAAGAAAAGGATTTATTGGGAACTTTGCACAGGTTACGTGCCATGTACCTTGTAAAGCAGTATCTAAAGAAAAAAATGCCTAACTAAAGGCTTCTTCATAGGTTTTCTTGTAATAGGGCTTTGCCACCACACACTGACTTCTGCCTTCGTGTATCCCTGAACCACCTTGCAGTGTGTCAAAAGCTGGATTCAGTGCATTGAAGCTGAAGAACATGGCAATTCTGCTGCCCACTAAGTGCAAGTGGCCATTAAAACAGAGCCACTATACACTATATAACAGCGAGAATCTACCTATATCAGGGGTCAGCAAACTTTTTCAGCAGGGGGCCGTCCCACTGACCCTAAGACCTTGTGGGAGGCTGGACTATATTTTTTGGGGGGGGAAAAGAAAAAAGAACAAATTCCTATGCCCTACAAATAACCCAGAGATGCATTTTAAATAAAAGCACACATTCTAGTCATGTAAAAACACCAGGCAGGTCCCACAAATAACCCAGAGATGCATGTTATATAAAAGGACACATTCTACTCATGTAAAAACACTCTGATTCCCGGACTGTCCACAGGCTGGATTTAGAAGGCGATTAGGCCGGATCCAGCCCCTGGGCCTTAGTTTGCCTACCTATGACCTATATCATTGGAAAGATAACTAATGGTGATAGCAGTGACTTAAGGTCAAAGTAGACCTTGCATGGGAGTTCCATAATTGGAGCTCTTCAAATCTTTTTCAAAAAGCAAGCTCAGGTGGGATGTGTGATTTGTGTCTAGGCAATGGAGATGGGGGAAGGGAATGATCCCCCAATGCAAATCACACACCCCTCCAGAAGCAGTTACTATCCCAATGAGAAAACACTTGTAGATGCCTGTTGGATTTTTTTCCTTCATGCTAATAGCAGCTTCAGCTGGGCAGGGGATTTGCCTGGGAGAATAAGTGCTCCATGACCCCATCTAAATCACTTCCATTCCTTCCAGTGAATAAGGCATCAGTCATTCTAATCACGACAATGGTCGTGAATAACTGGGCAGCTGTAGTAACCCACATAGGTAAGCCGTAAGGATCCCTAGATAAAAATATAAATGACTTGATGGAGATGTTTATCCAATTTGCAGATGACTTTGTCTGCAAATTGACGGCACTAGGTGAAAATTGACAAAATAAATTTCAACAGAGATAAGTATAAAGTTCTGCATTTAGGTGGGAAGGATCAGAAGCACCTGGCTTGACATCCATTTGTACATGTGAAAAGGTCCTTAGGGCCTTAGCAAATTACAAGCTAAACAAGAGTCAGTAGTTCAGTGCAGCAGCTAAAGAGGCCACTGGATTTCTAGGCTGTGTGAACAGAAGTATAATGCTCAGATGGAGAAAAATAATTGTACCACTCTGTTCTGCTTTGGTCAGATATCACACAAAGTACTGTGTGCAGTTCTGGGAACAAGAGTTTGCAGAGGATATCAACAAATTAGAACACGTCCAGAGATGGGCAACAGAAAACCAGAAATGGTGATGGGCCTGAAGACCAAGTCCTATGATGAAAGATTAAATGTGTTGGGCATGTCTAGCCCGGAGAAGAGACAGCTATTAGGCAATCTAACCAGCTTCAATTATGTAAAGGGCTGTTATATAGAAAATGGAGCAGATTTGTTTTCTTCTGCTACATGGGGAAGGGCTCTGTTGGTTCAAATTACAAGAAAAAGCACAGGGGCTTAATGTAAGGAAAAGGTTACTGACAATATGAGTGGAACAGATGGGTGGCCTTAGAAGGTGGTGGACTCTCCTTCATTAGGACTTTTTATGCAGAGCGTAGTAGATTTCCTGAATCAGCAGGAAGCTGGATTACATGACCTTTGAGATCCCTTCAAATTCTGTGATGCTATGATGTAAAGAAGTCACTGAACTAGATCCATAAGGCTTCTCAAGCATTTACAGAGCAAAGTAAAAGATCCTATAATTTAAAAAAGAAAGGCTTGTGAGTTTTATACACCATAACCACATTATATGGATTATGTGTGTTGTGACATAATTAGCATCAAGGCTACTTGGTTGTAAATGGTTCTGAAATAGGTCCATGGTAAATCAAGAGCCTTCTGCTCGAAGTGAAAATCAGAGGAACACTGTAAACCCAAAAAAAATTCCTTCCAGTAGCACCTTAAAGACCAACTAAGTTAGTTCTTGGTATGAGCTTTCGTGTGCATGCACACTTCTTCAGATACACTGGGTGTACACTGGGTGTATCTGAAGAAGTGTGCATGCACATGAAAGCTCATACCAAGAACTAACTTAGTTGGTCTTTAAGGTGCTACTGGAAGGAATTTTTTTTGTTTTGACTATGGCAGACCAACATGGCTACCTATCTGTAACTGTAAACCCAGTACACTTCAGCACCCCATTTAAAGACTTTCCCCCAAAGAGACAGAAATTAAAGATGCATGCTTAATATTCCTATCAGATGGCAGTAGCTTTACATTTCTGGTCACATCCTGAAAGAGTAAGTTGAGGGTAATGAATACTGAACTTTTGGATAACCCACATGCCTATAAGACTGATGGAGAGCTTTCTTCATTGCTTCAAGATGGAAGAAATAGGATCTTCCCACTTGCCCTGCCTTATTGTTAGAATGCCTTCTTCGGGGATCAACTATAACTATTAGCCTGTGAAAATACAAAATGAAGGGAGAGAGGAAAGTTCATCTCCTTCATTTTGTATTATAATAAAATAGCTATAGCTGATCTGAAGAAGAGCAATACTCGAGAAACATTGGGATCACCATACTTTATTCCATATTCTTTTAGGTGCGTGCATATATATATTTGTTATGCACCTATGTGAATTTTCATATTTTCTTCTTTTTATCTTGTTATGCTGATTGGGGAGGGGAAAAAGGGCTCCAATAAATCTCTCAAGCACTTGTAGCACCAGGAGGCTCACTGATTTCAATTTGGATATCTATGCATATTGCTGTCTATATAGGTACCAAAATTAGTTCTTGTTGCTAGAGCAGAACTGTACTGCCAGAAGTAAAATACAATCTAGTCTTCTGATCCAAAAAAAAAATTCTGTTTCACCTGAGTAGCTTGAATTTAGCTAGAGTTTATCATACAGATCACAGCATTGCAGAACTGAGACTATTACATTCTTGTTCCTACTTTAGGAGCTATTAAAAATATGCACATCCCGTGTTTCTGTCTCCCACTGCTGCAGTTTCTTATGTAGAATAATAACATCTTCGGTTCCTAAGGAGATTATTAACCTTGGCACAGAAGCCTAATTGGATAATTTATGGTTTTGCCTCCTGGTATTTGTCTCCTTTGCTAATGCTCCCATAATAGAATGCTGTGTTCTCATTTTAATGCACATTGAAAATACTATTATATAGTAATAGCAGGCATTGGAATGCTGTATAGGATGGCGTTCAACAGATGCAGGTTTTTAGTTACAACATTGTAACTGAATGCCCGTATTATTTTAACAATACAGTATTTATAAATTTCAGCTTACTCACTTGATGTATGTTAAATAGCTGTTTGTGTAATATATTCAGTGACTGGCAGTCAATATGCCAGTATGCAACAATACAAGATGTAATATGCTTAATTCTAATGTTGAGTAGGAACCTTGTCTGTTTTTGTTGAATAAATGTGCGTACGTACATCAGACCTTCTCTTCTTGCATTTCAGTGCCAAAGTGACATTTGGAGAACTCTCTCCCAAAATAAATTCTGAAATGGCAAAGGACAACTGCTCTCTAGATCTTAGCATGGGTATATCACACAACTTGTACTGGCAGTGACTGAGACATTGGACTTCACTTCTGGTGTATTTCCACTGCCAAATCATATATGGGAACATGAGACCCACAGGTGAAAGAACTGCAGGAATTAGTGTGCTTCATAAGCACACACAAACCCTGTAGCAAGCTTTGTGCAGATGCCCTTTTTGCATAGTTTCTCCATCCTTGCTGATCTCTAGTACAGTGATACCTTGGCTTTCGAACAGAATGTGTTCCAGGAGTCCGTTCGACTCCCGGAACCATTCAAAAACCAAAGTGTGGCTGCGGAAGCCATGCTGAATGTTCAGCTTCCGAAAATCGTTGAAAACTGGAAATTGTTCGAGAACCGGCTTCTGAAAATCGTTAGAAAACTGGAACACTCACTTCTGGGTTTCAATTGTTTGGGAGCTGATTTGTTCGGGAGGCAAGGCATTCGGCTTCCAAGGTACCACTGTACGGTATTTTAAAGACAGAAGCAAAGTGGGCAAAAATGCATAGGTACAAAACACCAGCAGGTATTGGAGAGTTGCAGGAAAACAGCACACTAAGGCATGCTACCTATGCTCCTAAAAACAGAGTACCAAAATAACAAAGCACAATCCCCTTTCACCGCTGATTTAAGCACCTGGCTAGCACATTTCCTATTCATAGCATGTGAAGGCTAAATCAAGAAAACAAGAGTTGAAAAAAAAATCAATAATATTGTCTTTTTGTTGATGTAGTATGGAGGCAAGAGGAGCTTGAGAATATCAACAGCACTCTCACTGGAGCCGAACGGAAGGCAGCTCTCTGTGGACTGTTAGAAAAAGAGGCCCAGCTGATTGCTACCATCGGGAGACACAAAATAAACGCATATGAAGAGAACGCGCACCAAGCAATCCTGTCCTTCTTGGAAAAGGTCAGTGAGATAATTTCTGTCTGAACACTGAACGCACCCAGAGTTCAAAAACCTGAATTAACATTTACAAAGTAGCAGCAGGCTGAAGAAAAGCACAGTAATTAACTTGACCAGTTGAAGATATGATTTGTGGGCTTCATGCATGTCTGGCAGTAAAATTGGCTCATTAGGTACAGTTATTAAAAGCCTTTTTATATACGCCTATAAAACTTGATGAGTGCTTCTTTTCACCTAAGCACAGAAAAACCACCACTTACATCTTAATTTACTTAATTGTGCCGTCTCATTGGAGATGATGAGTACCGTGCCCTGTGCAACCCTCAATTAATGCTACATTAGAGGCACATGGAACTCAGTGTATTACGGTAGTCTCATTCATACTTCCCCGAATGTACATTCTAAGAAGATTTGCATGGATGGGCCATTCTTAGAGGATCCAGCAGTTCGATGCCATCACAGGGAGATATGTGGTATTCCAGATTTTTTGAAGAGTATCTATTAAGAGTGGTTGTTTTGGGGGTTTTGAAAGACTTGAAATCTGTTGCCAGGTCCTCCCTCATTAACAAGGTCACAATCCTGCTCTCTCATATGGACAGAAGAGTAGAGTGGCACCTCATGCCAAGTCCCTCTTCTGATGATGCTCCCATGCAGGGTGTATGGCTGTGCTGGGCACAGCAACATGCCAGGCAATTGATGGCATAGCCTTCCTAGGCCTCACCTTTTAAGCATCCTGTAGTCCACTCTTTTCTCCCTGCTAGCATGCGTTGGTGAGGAGAGAAGCCTGCAAGCCTGAGTCTCAGGGAGAATACTTTGGATACTTCAGGGTGAGGCATTGGAAGGTTTTAACTTGCCATGAACAGCTTGTCAGTGGTATTGGCATGCCCAGAGTAATATTAGCAGTGCATGGAATAGAAAAGCTATGCTGCAGTTCCTTGAGTGGATCTTGCTATCTGCACCCTGAGAAAGAAGAATAGCAACCCGTCTTCCCCCTTGATCTGTTCTGCTGTATTCGGTATGCAAAAGCTTTTACCAGAATCCATCTGATTGTTTGCATGTGTGTCCAAGATCACCACATGACTGCAGACTGTCTAAAGTGGCTTGAGCAGTGATGTGATAAGCTGTGATATAAGTGCATGGAGCAGCAGTTGGAGGGCTGCTTCGCTATGGGTTCCCTGATCATCAGAAGCGAACAACCCCCACCCTGCCCCTTTCAAGGTGTTGTGCAAGTGGTCCTTGTAGTGGCTTAACCTTAGAGCAGTGGCTTAGTAGAATAGTCAGTTTCTGTAAAAATTAGATGGCCATAAACCTCTTTCAATCAAACTACTGACTTTGTAGCTGGATTTCAAGTTTTACGTTGTTATCCTCCATAGTGCTCTACTGATGCAAGCCTCATCCAGCAGTTGTATCCTTCAAAGAACAACTGCATCACTCAAAATATGGCCTGAAAACAGGAGGGTTTAATTTCTACTCTGTTCTTATAATTCTGGTTTTGCAAACCAGAAGGGTAGTTTCACTATACATCACCATACATTTTAGACATAATAAGAATAGGGCTTCAAAGGTAGGCAATATCTAATTCATCTCTCCTTTTGAATAAAATAAGATAAACCCTGAGAATAGTGTAATGGATAAGCAAAGTTGGACAATTTATCATATGTCAAAATGGTTCTTCCCCCGCCCCCCCGCCCCCGCCCCGATTAAATATGTTAAGTTTAGTTACCCACCACCAGATGTCACTAGCGGCCACTATAGTAGAAATAAATGTGGAGGTTTTGAAATTTCAGTATGTACTGCAACACTTCATTGCTCGCCTTTAATGTCAGATATAGGTGAAGGTATGATGGCTCAGGAAATGCCTTTTGAAGGAAAATGGATACTGAAGAGCAATGTGAAGGAGTGGAGCACTAGAGTAAAGAATAATAACAATTTAGCCACCATTCAGCTGTTGTTGTTGTTGTTCCAAACTCCACTGGAAGTGCATATGGTGAAAAGCAAACTTTCAATCTGGACGGATTATCATGGAGGCTCTGAACGAACTAGTGCCTCCATGTACTGAAATTTGTACAGTTTCTGCTGCTCAAAAAAGGGCTGCATGTACAGTCACACAAATCATGGTGGGCATATATACAGTCCCTACGCTTTAGCGGTGATTCATGATTCTGGCATTTCCACATGTTCCTAGCTGATGGCCCAGCCTGCTTCTAGGAGATTAGGAATGAACCATCTACTTAACAAGGCTTCAAGGCTGGCAACTGGACGTTGGTACACATTTAATATAGAAGTGAATTCAGCAAGATATTTTGTAGAGATAAGAGAAGCAGACAGAGGAAGTAGCTTTTGGAAATGAAGACTAGTAAGAAGGGGGAGGGATTGGCAGCTACTTGGTTTGGAGGAAAGAGCAAAATGACCCTAATTGTGCAAGGCCTAGACAAAGAAGAGGTAAGTGGCTCTACGCTTTCTGCTTGGTATTATAGTATTCTTGGCTTAAGCACAGGAATTACTTCCCTGATACTGGTTTCAAATTTTTGTGGATCTTCTCCTTCTTGAAAAAAGCCACTTGATTTGGAATGATGCTTTTAGATAACCATTTTCAGTTTCAATGCAGAAATAAAATTTGCTTAAAAGAATTCTGACCTCCCCACCTCCTTGAATCAAATGTCCCCTCTGACCATGACTTGGGCTTTAGGCACCAAAGAGACTTCGTTGACAAATTGTTCCATTGTGGTTAAGACCAACTGAAGTCACCAATTTGGATCAAATGTGAATGTGTCGAATAGATATGCTGCATGCATGATGTAGACGTTAAGGCCAACATCATAATTTACAATTTTATTTATTTATTTTATATCCACCCTACCTCCAAATGGGATGCGGGTGGCGCTGTGGGTTAAACCACAGAGCCTAGGGCTTGCCGATCAGAAGGTCGGTGGTTCAAATCCCCGCCATGGGGCAAGCTTCCGTTGTTTGGTCCCTGCTCCTGCCAACCTAGCAGTTCGAAAGCACATCAAACTGCAAGTAGATAAATAGGTACCGCTCCGGCGGGAAGGTAAACAGCATTTCCATGCGCTGCTCTGGTTCGCCAGAAGTGGCTTGGTCATGCTGGCCACATGACCCGGAAGCTGTATGCCGGCTCCCTCGGCCAACAAAGAGAGATGAGCGCCACAACCCCAGAGTCGGCCACGACTGGACCTAATGGTCAGGGGTCCCTTTACCTTTACCTTACCTCCAAATAGTAGGAATGTAGCTACATGTGAAGGGATTTAAAATGAGCTCTTGGCTGTCATTGGATAGAGGAAAAAGGGGGTAGTAGGTTATCCACTTTCTTCCAATTTAATATACAGAAATCCCCTACCTCCACAAGCTATTCAATTTCCATGACAGTTGAGAGAATCCTGACGGCTGCTCTAGTAAATGTATGTACTCTGGAAATGAAATGCTTTGGGGCAGTAGTAGGAGAACTGATCTTCCTTCTTACACTAGTTATTCAATTGAGATCCTGTCCTAAATAGCATCCTCACTTGCCTGAACAAATGGTCAACTTTGCTAATAGCACCAGATATTTACTCAACATATTGGTTCATAGATGTTTTGCTGTTTCCTTCCCTGTTTGTCTTTATTCTCTGCAATTCTTAATTGCATCTCCTCCTGTCTCTCCCAGTGCAAGTTGTATTCCCCACCCCACCCCTCTGGCAACACTCTGTGCAGCTTTCATGTGGTGGCAACTGGAATGCAGTTTACAATAGACCTGCTCTCTGAAGCAATTTAGATAACAGGATTATTGTAATTTCCATGTTGCAGCCAGCCAACTAAAAAAGCAGAAGACGGCTGGCAAGAGAAAACTGGAGATTCAGAATTTCTTGCACCAGTTTTGAGCATATATCTAAAAAAGCCCGAAAACAGAATTTGAGCATGGATAAAAGGCCTTGAGGGGACACTGAGTTCTTTGGCAAAGAATGAACACAATTTTATTTAGAAAATTATATGTTCTTATCATAACTTATGAAAATGTGGAGTGAGGCCCTTCGTTATACATTATACATTTAGTTTACTATACAAATTAAAATGGCTACACCTCCAGGTTTTTATCTAAATTTAACAGAAGCTAAAATGAATAGTAGCTTGTCTCCAAAGAACTCTGGGCAGAGTTCAGCTGCATGTTGGGGTTTTCCATCTATGCATCCCCATTCCATCCTCTTCTGTTGAAAATCTGTCTCTGAAGGTCAAGGAAACCTTTTCACACACTGCTGTTCAGTGCATATGGCTCCTCACCTCAGAGGAGCTGGTAGAAATTGGAGGTCTCTACTTAGCTTAAGGGACGTGGGTGGCACTGTGGGTTAAACCACAGAGCCTAGGACATGCCGATCAGAAAGTCGGCGGTTTGAATCCCCGCGACGGGGTGAGCTCCCGTTGTTCGGTCCCTGCTCCTGCCAACCTAGCAGTTCGAAAGCACGTCAAAGTGCAAGTAGATAAATAGGTACCGCTCTGGCAGGAAGGTAAATGGTGTTTCCGTGCGCTGCTCTGTTTCACCAGAAGCGGCTTAGTCATGCTGGCCACATGACCCGGAAGCTGTACGCTGGCTCCCTCGGCCAATAAAGCGAGATGAGCGCCGCAACCCCAGAGTTGGCCACGACTGGACCTAATGGTCAGGGGTTCCTTTACCTTTACCTTTGCTTAGTTGAGGAGAAGCACTTACTGCTTACCCTAGGATCTCTTTGGAGCAAAACCATTATGTTCTTATTTGTGGGTTGTATCCAATGCTTGAATTACTGAGAGTAGACCCATTGAGGTTAGTAGCCATAACTAACTTAAGTCCATTAATTTAAGTGGATCTACTCTGATGCAGGTGGTACTGTGGTCTAAACCACCGAGCCTCTTGGGCTTGCTGATCAGACGGGTGGCGGTTCGAATCCCTGAAATGGGGTGAGCTCCTGTTGGTCTGTCCCAGCTTCTGCCAACCTAGCAGTTTGAAAGCATGCCAGTGCAAGTAGATAAATAGGTAC